CGTGACGCTTTGTAACTACGTACAAATCAGCAAAACAGGTACTATGATGTGCCCATCCAAAGAATCAGTATCCGATATCTGTATCGCTCTGTTATTGGATGCTTTTTGAGATTTCAGTTTTGGAAATTGTGAAAAAATATCCAATCTGCATGTTTAATAGATTGCCTTATTTCTTGTTTCGTAGTTAAATTGGTCGATATAAAAAACATTGATATACCGTATTTATGGGGCCCGACTACTAGTTTTGTCTGAAAAAAATGGCGTCGAGTAGATCGACTCTGCACTTTGAAACAACTTTTTGAAGGTGAAGTCGATTTTTTTAAATGGAATCCCTCACTTTTGGCCCCGTAAATTAATATAACGGGAAATTTTACATTGAAATATAATCTTAACCATTCTTAAGTTTTGACCTTAGGAAGTCATGGTCAAGGTCAAACCCAGGTAACTTGAAAACCCGTAGTCATATAGGGAAACTGCCGAGAAATTATTTTCATGATTTTTCCCCAGATATTCAGTGGTGATCTGACCTTAACAACTATGACCTTCAAGGTCATGTGAAGGTCGAGTGGATTTTTGTACCTAGGAAACAATCTTGAAAGTACAGTGAATTCAGTTTATCGGCAAATTAGACAGTTTTCCGAATTATCAAGAAATGGAGGTAAACTTGTATTTAACCTTGATGATCAAGTCCAAGGTTAAGTTCAAAAACGTTAAAACATAAAATGTTCTCTTTTCTCTAATTCCGCGGTCAAAAGTGCAGTGCCCCATTAAAAAAGGAGTGCACCTTCTAATGACCAAGGTCAGATCCAAGGTCATCATTGGATATCCGGGAAAAACTATGATAATAATGTCTCATCAGTTTCCCTATACGACTATTGGATTTCAAGTCATATCACCGTACCTAGTTTGACCTTGACCTCCTAAGGTCAAAATTAATAATGGTCGAGACCATATTTTAAAAAAAGGTAATATAATACCGATACATAAATCAGGAACAAAAACAGATGTTAACAACTATAGACCAATATCAATAATATCCAGTGTAGCAAAGGTTTTTGAAAAAGTTTTATCTACTAGAATGATTCGATACCTCACAAAATTCAAAACTTTAAGTGAAAATCAATATGGATTTACAGAAGGGAAGGCTACATCGGACGCAATAACTAAAATTGTAAATCAAATACATCAAAATATTGATAACAGAATCCCTTCAATCTGCATTTTTGTTGATTTAAAGAAAGCTTTCGACACAGTTAATCACAAATTATTATTAGAAGCATTGGAGAGAATTGGTTTCAGAGGAAACGCGTACTCACTGATCGAAAGTTATTTGTCAAATCGCCCACAATCTGTGCAGATATCAGGATCATTTAGTAAAGAAATGTATATTAAGTGTGGTGTCCCACAAGGAACTGTCTTAGGTCCGCTGTTATTCAATATATATTTAAATGATATTTTCCAAATTAATTGTGTTGGCAAAATAACTAGTTTTGCAGATGATACTGCAATATTATATGAAGGCACTGACTGGTCTGATCTGAAAAATGTAATTGAAAATAATTTTATTAAAATTATTCGGTGGTTTAACAGTAGAAAATTAAGCATTAACTACTCTAAAACACATTTTTTACCATTTGGATCCTATGCTAGACATCTGCCAAATTACACAAATTTCTCCTTCAATATTAATGATCAAAAAATGCAAATTAATAGAGTGCCCAACATAAAATACCTTGGAGTGGTCTTGGATCCTCACTTACGATGGGACATCCATGTCAATTATATTTTAAAGAAAGTTAGATTTGTATCCTACAAAATTAAATACCTTGGGAATATATTGACAGAAAAATATCTTCGAACATTATACCATGCACTGATTGAGCCTCATCTCACATATGGTATATTAGCATGGGGAGCTGCATGTTCCTCACATATCTATAATTTAGATGTTTTTCAAAAAAGTATTCTAAAAATGATATTTAAAGAACGGAAACTTTATCCCACTGAAAAATTATACGCAGATGTTCGAATGTATGATATAAGACAGCTTTATTTCTTACACAGTATCACTCACTACCATAAATTTGTAAACACCGACCAAAAAATTAAACATAATCATTATACCAGGTACAAAATTCGTGGCACAGTAGTTCCTCAACCGCATAAATCTATAATGCAGCGATCATATCTCTATTTAGCGTCTAAATTTTATGAAATTATACCTAAAGACTTAAAAGATTTACGTTTCGGAAATTGTTTCAAAAGAAATTTAAAAAAGTGGCTACATTCTATATCTAGGACTGAAATTCGTAAACTCATAAATACGAACATCAACTAAATACATAATCTACTGTAGCTAATTTTTGTCCTTTTTTGTCATTTGCATTCTACAGTTTCAACTTAAATTTATTGGTCCATGTACAGGCGATGCCATTGGGCCTGTTTTGATTTTATATTTATTTACTCATATTGTTTGTAATCTTTGTACATTGAGTGAATAAATATTATTATTATTATTATTATATTTGAACCTAAAATTTTTCGCTCCTTTCATTTACTGGGCCGAAAATAGGACGTTCCAGTTGAAAAAATCGACCTGACCTGCAAATGACCTTGAAGCTCACTGTCAAGGTAAAATTCATGGTCTCCATTGGATAGGTGGGGAAAACTTCTGTTTACATCTGCCCATTTAAAACGAGTTCAAGACACTCTGAAATCATGACTTTTCAGAGTGAAATACATGACAAAATGAACCAGTATAGACTGCGTTTTTTTTAATTAATTGATTTTAGGCAAATTCCGCTCCTCGCCATATTGACGCATAACGATGCTCTTGGTATCCACGGTGTCCTGAAACAACTCCAAAAGAAGCCGCAGCTACACCAGAAAACATCCACCGTACTTTGGTGAAGGCCAGAATCATCTCAATACTCCTGACGACCGGACTGATAATAAATAATGGGCAACCTACAGCTTCCGTCCGACAAAGCACATCTGTTATGCCCAACTGGACACAATACGCCATTTGTACGCAAATCAGGTGGTGTCTACATTACGCCCGGAGCTCGTTCCGGAATTGTTTACGCAACTAAGATTGTTAGTATTTACATTTACTCACTCTGGATGATCAAAGCTAATCCGTGTCAATTATACAAAGCATGAACAATTATGGGTAAAGTACCCCGCGCGGTCTCGCAGGGAGACGTACTTCCCTCGCAGCTGACTGCTTGGCTTACTTCCACAACTAAGTTTACTGAACTTGAATTGCAAGGGTGGATAATTCTGGAGGCGATGGAGAGTGTTACCTTGAGCTGGAGTGCATGAGTTATAGTTGGGTATGTCTTGAGTTAGCTTTGTTTGATCGGGTATGCCAACGTTTCTCAACCTCTCACCATTTGCGACGCTAATTTCAACAATTATTTTCACCACCCCTCCCCCCCCCTCACACAATAACAATATGTGTGTACAGTAGAAATGTACCTAGAGTATTTTGACGTTCATGTTACAGTACAACCTTAATAACAAATCTTGCAACTCACCGAGAATAAGTAAATTTCTAGAAGTTTGGCAACGCCGATCTGCTGCATTGGCAAATCCGGAATCAATGCCACTCTTCGCGAGAATTTCCGAGTTATCTCGAACATTCTCGAACGTCTGCGCCAACGTGTTTCCCGCCGCATCTTGTCAATTCTTCGAGTTAAAATCAAAGTTTCACTTGCCTCTTATAAAGTTTCATATGAGATAGCCAGATGTGAGAAGCCTCACACTATCGGTGAAGAGGTTATTTTGCCAGCACCAATTGAAATTGTTGAAACCGTGTTTGAAGATAATTTTGCCAAAAAATTGGAGTCTTGATAAGGCAACGGACATCAATCAAGATACTCATCTTATTGCCCACGTTCGATTTTGTGATGGCATATCAGTAGTAGAAGCAGTATTTTTATGCAAACATATAGAACTCAAAGCCACAGCTCTCGCATTATTTGCTATATTAAATATATCGAGGCAAATATAGAATGTAATAATTGCGCTACTTGGTCGACATATTTGAGAAACTTAATATCTTCAGCTCCTAAGGGGGGGGGGCGCCCCACAGGTTGTGAAACGCTGCTAAATCCGCTTCAGTTGCTGCAAAGTTGATGTAAATCTATCAGAAGGTAGACAGCCAGAAAGAACTTGGACATTTATAGCAGTTTAATGTCTTATTGCACAGTGTTCCTAGAATCTACGACTTAGCAAAGATGCTAGTCAATCCGATCTGGAAAAAGTTTGCTGAGACGAAGTTACATCTGACAACAGTGTTGTACTGTAGTAGCTTCTTGAGGAAATAACGACTTCAAGAACAAATCAGTTGACGCAACTGGTTTACTGTGTTCTTTCACACCAAACTTAGATGAATAAAGGCCAAACCCAGTGATATAATCACATGAATTTCTGTTTAGATTTATTATAGGTAAATTCTTCTTTGTACCATTATTATATTTGCTGCTATCAGTTCAATGTCAATCACATGGTACTTTTGATCATCTTCGTCACTTGAAAAATAATCTGAAGTATTCGCATCTCTAAAAGGCGTTTTCACAAATCGGTGAACTGCCTCGTAGCCATGACTGTTAATTTTTGAAAGATGATTAAGTACTTGACAGACAATATTCAGTATGTCAAATAATAAAAGTGTTAAACTTTAATTAGAAAGCTCACCTTGACAAGAAGAATTCTTCAACCCAACTAACGTACTATATGTCCTAAAAGCTTTATCGGATTTTTGTTAATCAAGAGATTTATTTAAACACTAACTAGATATCATAAATTACAACTCAATACTCCAGTTTAGAGTGTATCTGGTGCGACAAAAACATGAAAGTTGAGGTTCAACTCATCTGGAAAGCAACAGTTCAGACTTCATTCTTGAACTGTCATCAATAGGCTATAAGTGATCTAAATTTCTAACCTTTCGTCATGTTCTATTCCTGCTATGTGTACCTGCCAAACTACTGCTTATGAGTTTCTGCTCTGTGCTCTGTGCAGCAAAACCCAAGATTGAAACTCATCCCTTTAGCATTTGTTTGATTTCCTTTATTCCAGTCACGATACCCACAGCTAACAACAAACAATTACTGATTAGGAAGCAGTTGGCATCAATACATTTCACGAACAAATTATCCAGCAAGGTTATTTCGTGACAACTGATTTATATTATGTATAAGGCGATCTGTATCAGTGTATAATAAACCCTAATTCCAAAATTTCCTCAATTTGTCATTTTTGCTCATACCTGAGCTGTATTTTTTCCTTCCTTCACCGCTACCACAAAATAACTGTCATCTTCATAATCTCCTAAACGCACATATTATCGGTAATGTCCTATATGGACCTCGGGCATATAGTAATTACGATATAGCGATGTTTATCTTGGAAAACGTGGACAGCCCTTGAGTACACATATAATGCACCTACGTATGTGGTTTGGCGGCCGTTGATAATATTTTCTATTCTACCATGAATAATGCATAATTTAAAGGAAAACGCAAAGTGCAGAAAATTGTTGGGAATTGTTTTATAAATTACACATTTTTAATTTCGTAGTCGCACGCGAGCTGTTTTCCTCGAAAACGCCAAAGGTAAAACATAAATAACCGGCTTTAATTGCGTAACGATTTCAAAGGGTATTCGATTTCAGTTGAAATGAAAAGCAAAACTTTAAACATATCAATTCGCTTTGGGTGTAATTAGACAGCTCAAGTTGGTGATGGAATCTATGAAAATAAAAAACATATACGCATATTTGGAATGGAATCCAGTGAAAGCCACACATCAATTTTTACCCAATAAAAGATTCCATCATGCAACAGTACTGATTCATCAACTATTCAATAACCAATCACACGTAGCTGTTGACGGCTCTCTGAAACTGTTGAATATGGGAATGCAGTTCAACAGATATGTACAAATCCACAAAGTTTTGTCTTTTTTTAATAACATTTTCGAGCAATTGTTTGCTGGAAAGCATACCGAAACTTCAGGGATGTCTAGGAACAGTACTTGATCTGCTGAACAGATATCTTAATTAAACCAAGAAGGACATTTCAGTCATAGACAATATAATAAGGAATGTTTTAACTGCTGATAAATGTGGTGTGAAGAGCAGAAAGCTATATATTGCACAGGGCGCAATTTGGGTATTCCCGAAAAAAAGATTTTTGAAGACATACGATTCGTAGTTTAGTGGCTTTCACATATTAATGCATCTTTTTTTTTTTCAGGTGAGAAAACGGACATCGTCTTCAACGGTAAGAGCTTATTGCAACTATAGGTACCTCATAAATCTAACACTAACCTAACAGGTTTATCTGCTCGTTTCATTGAGCTTGAGGCGGCATTGGAAGTATTAAATAAATAATAAATAAATAAATAGCGTTTATTGCCCAATAGTTAAGGAAACCATTTACAGGACAATCCTAAGATAAATCAAAACAACAAGAACAGAAAGCACATAAAAAGCAGCTGATTTCATCTAAGGAAAAAAAGAAAGAAACAAACAAGAAAAAACCAAACAAACATATTTCACTCAATGGAGTAACATATCATAAATTATCCAAGCAATTTCTAGCTACTCCCAGAATGCAGCTCAAACTATCAGCATCTTATATAATAATAATTTGATGTTACATTGAAAGTTTAACACATCACATATATGGGTGCCTTCAAAAACAAATTTGTGCGACCTCGTCACAATAAAATGTTTTATCTGTACGAGTTTGAATAGATGGAACATTAAAGTTTATTTGAGCCACAATAATGCAGAACATCATCAATAAATAAGGTAAACAATAAAGGACCAAGATTTGAACCCTGAGGCACTCCCGATTTAGTTATATACTGGTACGACTTGAATCCATTAAATGTAACATATTGCTTCCTTTCATGAAGATAACTTTGAATGAGTGCTAATGCTGATGAATGGAATCCTTAATAAAAATGTTTATTCAAAAATATGCCATGGTCCACCCTATCGAACGCTTCAGCATAATCGGTATATACTACATCTAGTTGACCTTGCCGATCGACACATTCAATAGCGAACTGAGTGAAGATCGTTAAATTAGTTACTGTGGATCTCTTAGTAAGAAAACTATGTTGAAAAGGAATCAGAGATCTATGAACTGCGGAGTAAATTCTATTATGCAGTATTATCTCCAGCAATTTGGAGAAATTCGACAATATTGCCACCGCAGTGTCAGTATTATCCCCTGATTTGAAAATAGGTGTCGCTCTAGAAAGTTTCCAAATATCAGGAAATGTGTTGGTTTCTATAGTCAGATTGTATATGTTTAATAACGGTTTAACAGAGACATGAACACAATCCTTGACTATGAACGAGGAGATGTTGTCTGGGCCGGCTGTTACTCTATCCTTGAGTTTTTTAGATGCAGCAATAATCTCAATTTCATGAATGTAATTGAAAAGTATGTATATATATAAGTATTATATACGAGTAATTTTATCTTACGAAAGGCAAATGTACACTGAAATCTACGTGTGAAATACGTCTATAGGCACTTAGGATTACCAGTATCAGAATATACTAGCGCCAGAAAATTGAGGTATTTTTAAGCCCTCAAAGGTATTTCCAAAAAATGAACCCGTAGTTCCGACTTCACTGGATCGGGTTTTGTCGTCTTTTTCGTTCTCGGCATAGCAGTAACTTGAGAAACATAACATAAAATCTCGTTTTCCAAATTTTTCGCTATAATACTTCCTCGCCAATTGGCATGGGAAATAAAAAGCCTTCGTCGACTGGAAGAAATTTCTTAAAATAGGGTAGCTACATAGTCGTTCATTTCTAATACAAGTTGATTGCACGAACTGCAAAGAAAAACCGACTGCGTTGCAATAAGTGTGCAATTGAAGGCCATTAGTTATACGGTCTTAAACTAGGTTAGACGCCATAGTCGTCGGTGGTACTATTTTTCACATCTAGATAACGCAAATCATTGTGTATTTGCAATTTGGAAAAACGACCAATCCAAATCCCAAAGAGGCGGAAAGAACTTACTTAGGCTCTATTGTGTTAATGGCTCACACCTATTTAGATTTAATCTTAGGGAGTCGTTAGCCTATTAAGAGACACAACTTTTGGCTTTCGGGGAGCTGTATCCCCAAAAAACACCACCGCGATGGCCGAAACGTTAGTAAATCGTACATACATTACAAAGTCATGCAGTTACATTTTTGGGTATACAAACTTACTCCACTGGGACCAGGAGGGTGAAACGGGATATTAATGCACAATCTGGCAACCCTGTCGCACCCTCACAAAATGGCCGCTGACAACCACACAAGTCATCTTATTGTCATTGGATGGCATGGAATTAAACCTTCAGAGTATATGTTTTGTGACTGATACCAGGAGTTGACAGACCCCACACTTGTGTCTCTCCTTGAAATGCAATAATCAGCTGTATTCAAATAAAGTCTAATATAAATATAACCTAGAATGTGTACTCGTGAAAAAAGAAAAATATGGCAAATTTGTAGTTTTTTTTGCAGGGTTTAGGTTTGCTGGTAGCTTTAAGGCATATATTTGGGAATTTCTTAATCGCTGTGAATATAGTGTGGATGTTTGTTCAGTTCCTGAACAACGAAAAATATTCAACTTTATGGATGTATGGATATCAAAAATCCTGAATGGTTTTGTGGGAATATCAATCTAAGGTGCCATAATGGTTCTGATGAACGGCAAGTAAATGAATGAATGTTTGGAAACGAGCAATATCTTTTGGTAGAGCCTGTCATCAAGTAGGTGCTTAATGGCTATCTGCAAGAGGTTTATAGGAAAAAACACCCAGTATCGCATATCAATTGAAGAAAATAATATAAACATGAATTTTATTCAAAAATCCAACATTTCCTTAAATTTTGGCTGAATTATATGTAATTTCTTAATATTCTATAAGCTGGTGATATTTCAATGACAAGCTGCCATCTCATACTTTGACAGTATTTTGTTTTCAACATAGCTACTGGTTGCTAAAATTTGTTGATTGAAGCTCATTCGTTGTATTTTACGGTCTGTTACCCTATAGGTGGAGAATAACGGACTGTTGTTGGTGAAATTGGTCCTAAGTCTTCTTGACTCAGATTATTTAGCATTATTTGCAAGACTGTTAGTTTACAAAAGAGATAATATAATCTTACATTCAATCATTTATGTATTTTCGTGGAAACCGCTTGAAATGTAAAATGCACCTGTCCTCAATAAAAATGAATCTGGATGTACTAGAACATTTTAAATAAATGAGACCACTGGAAGGGAGAAAATAAAGCTAAGCTACGCAGCCCTGTGTTAACTGAGACAGTTATCCGGTAAAAAGATTCCGTATAAATTCCCCGTCTATGCTCCTGCTCAATTCCCTGGCAGCTCCCTCAATAAAACTGCTCCGCGTCGGCGAAGTGAAACGGTCTGTCGAATGGACGGATAAATATTTCCACTAGAACGTCTCCTTTGTATACGTCTAGAATAACATCTGTTTTAAAACGTCCTCCACTCTTTCATTCACGTCTTTCGTATAAACTGGGCTGCAAAAAAACGCCAGCGGATCTCAAATACGAATAACTCCTGAGAATAAATTAAGTTATATCATTTGTATTAAGAGTTGAATGTTTACCCTCTGCATTTAGAATGACGAAAGCAAGTACTTTAACAAACGGTAAGCATGTTATTATCAGTGAAAAAAAGACGATATCAGATGAGTATAGGCGTACAACTACTGAGTTTCTATGCTGTCCTGGGAGACGACCAGACACGTCGCCTAACCTTGAGGCTGGTTTTAGAGTCACGCTGACCGGCCGCTGACCGTCAGCGCCGACAGGCGAAATATATGAAAGTCTAGGAAGCGTTTTAGAATAAGGCGTAGCTGTCAGCGCGGACGGTGGTCAGCGCTGATAGCTCAGCAGCCATACGCGTTGCGCTTCGGCGGCTCGTAGCAATCAGTGCTGACCATCGCTCGCGCGCCTTTGCTTTCATTGAGCGTTCTAGTGTCGAACGGAGTGGATGTTGTCAGCGTGTACAGGTACAGTCACGATGTGCACACAAGTCGAGTCATCCAGTACAAAGCAGCAATGACTATTGCTCTCCGCATTTTGCGTCTGCGACTGTATTCCGTGGCAATCAGCACGATACTAAAACGCTTCGCGCTGACAAAACACGCGCTGAGCTGTCAGCGCTGTCGTCAGCTTGACACTAAAACCAGCCTGAAGCTTGTAACAGCCGTCGGTCCACGCGCGCCGCACTAGGAATGCAGTCAGTCGTAAAGAGTCAGTCGTAAGAAGCAGTTGCAGAACAACAGGAGCCAACGCACCCGCCCGGTATACACCTGTCGCATATCTACACATTCATGAACAAGTACTCAATGAACTGTTCTAAACCGAAGACCACTGCGAGTTGAATTGCTTTGCTTACCTATCCTCAACAGTAATTAATGTTAGTTAATGTCACATTAAAGTATTTACTTATATTTGAGTTATATTTATAATCGTTTACGTTGGACAACAAAACAGTTGTGCTGTGACAGAAAGGCAAATGTCAGAATAATAAATGCATGTGTTAAAAAAAAACCTGTCATTCACTGTTGAAATGTTTCGGCATTACGATACTTTGTCCGCTTATTGAAGTGTGGAGAAAAACGTAAGAACCACCCAGTCGACCTACTTGTCTCTTATATCTTTTAGGGCGCATATCCCCCCGCACTATAAAGAACTCGACATCCCTACAGACAGTGGGGTTGTTTACACTTACGCGAAGGTTAAGGGACCTGCTTTTAAAGAAGCGTGAGCGATTTATGAGCCCACGGAGGCTGAGGAGGGTTTCCGTAAGTATCTGGGGGAAATGTTTGATGGACTATATTGGATTTTGAAGGATACCCCATATGCGGAGCCGTTCCTTGCAGGAGACGGTACGTTTAGAATTTACATTTCATATAGCTGCCTGTATTACGGTGAAATTGGGGTTCTTGGACTCAGATATGCTACATCATCTGCTTTAGGGAGGAGCAGATGCACGGGCTGCCAGAAGCCAGGAGATTTTCATTTTGCAGAAACAGCCTTGTCAATATTTTTATCTTAAATGCGTCAAGAAAATCTGATAATAAAGGCTGAATTTAATAATATTTGAAACTGTACAATTGCATGCATAGAAACAAGAGTTTAGCAGCATGATACTCTTACGCTTAACCACCCATGCGTAAAAAACAAAAGTTGTTAAGTAACAGATATCAAACGAAAAAATACA